CTTCCTGGGAACCAATGAAAATGAACACAGAACAACACAAGATCTATGGGACACAGCAAAAGCAACCCTGAGAGGGAACATCATAGCACTACAGGCGTAACTCAGGGAACAAGAAAAAATTCTAATTGACTATCTAACCTCACAACGTAAAGAACTAGAAAGCAAACAAAAAGAAAACCCCAGAGCAAGTAGAAGGAAAGAAATAGTAGAGATCAGAGGAGAAATAAATGACATAGAGACTAAAAAACATAATTCAAAAGATCAATGAAACAAAGAGCTGGTTGTTTGAAAAGATAAACAAAATTGATGGACCCTTACTACACTCACCAAAAAACAAAATAGAGGACCCAAATAAACAAAATCAGAAAGAAAAGAGAATAACTGACACCACAAAAATACAAAGGATCATTAACAAATACTATGAACAATTATACACAAACAAATTAGATAATCTAGGTGAAATGGACAAATTTCTAGAAACACATAGTCTCCCAAAACTAAACCGAGAAGAGATAGAAAACTTGAACAGACCAATAATAACTTCAATAAGGAAATTGAAGATGTAATCAACAATCGCTCAGCAAACAAAACCTGGGCCCAGACAGTTTCACAAGGGAGTTTTACCAATTATTCAAAGAAGAACTAATACCCATTCTCCTCACACTATTCCAAAAAATTCAAGAAGAAAAAAGACTTCCAGCCATGGCCGGTTTGGTTCAGCTATTAGAGCATCAGCCCGCAGACCAGAGAAACCTGGGTTTGGTTCCCGTTAAAGCGTACCTCAGTTGCAGTTTGTCCCCCACCCTGGTTGGGGTTGTGTGGGTGGCAACCACTCTATGTGTCTCTCTCATGTTGATGTTTCTCTTTCTCCCTCCTACTCTCTCTCACGATCAATGCAAAAAAAAAAAAATGTCCTCGGGCGAGAATAAAATAAAATAAATTAAAAAAAAAAGACTTCCAAACACATTTTATAAGGTCAGCATAATTCTAATTCCAAAACCAGATAAAGACACTACAAAGAAAGAAAACTAAAGGCAAAGTTCCCTGATGAACATAAATGCCAAAAACCTTAACAAAGTATTAACAAATCGGATCCAGCAATACATTCAAACAATTATTCACCATGACCAAGTGGGATTCATCCCAGGGATGCAAGGATGGTAAAATATTTGTAAATCAATAAATGTGATACACAACATAAACAAAAATGAAAGATAAAAACCACATGATCGGACTTCCGGTCAAGATGGCGGCATAGGTAAACGCGGTATCACATCCTCCCACAACCACATCAAAGTTACAACTAAACTACAAAAAACCATCATTCAAAACCGCCTGAAATCATCCTGAATAGAAGTCCTACAACTACAGAATTAAAGCAGCAGCCACATCCAGACTGGTAGGAGGGGGGAGGGACAGAGGCACGAGGGCTGGTGGCAAGACCAGTGGCAAGACGGGTTCGTCCCACACCCATGTGCGACAGATAAAAATCAGGAGGATACCTCCTCGGCTGGGAAGGTCCTTCCTGAGGACTGAGGGGTCCCTGTCCCACACCAGGTGCCCCACTCAGGGTTCCAGTGCCAGGAAGAGAAGTCCCCATAACTTCTGGCTGGAAAAACCAGCGGGAACTGAGGGTCAGGGAAGCTGAAGCGGCTGGAGCCCCAGGCAGCTTCTTAAAGGGCCCGCGCCCGGACTTATCAGACTCTCTCCCTCTAAGCTGGGAGGGGAGGCAGCTGCAGGGCACCAGAGACATACAGGGAAGAACTGAGCTGTTTGGCACTGGAGCGAGGGCTGGAGAGGGGGCTTTCTCCGGGACAAACGAGCTGTCAGAGGCCTTTGTTCCTTTGGTGAGCCCTTCCCTGGGGCGGCAGACAGCAGCCATACCTGGGACTCCAGCAACCTGGCTCACACTCGTAGCCCCACCCTGCTGACTCCCTGAGGCCCCGCCCCACCCAACTTTCAGGCCCACCCAAGCTGTTGCCAGTTGCTTAACCATAGGATTGGCTTTCTTGGATCCTGCTTCAGGTTTTCCTAAATTCTTTCAAACAAGCAGCATCTGGTCTCAGCTAGCCCCATACCTCCCGTTAAGTAATACATAGAAACAAACACAGGGAGGCAGGTCCCAAACACAAAGAAACAGGTCCCAAATGAAAGAACAGAACAAAACCCCAAGAAAAGAACTAAGCGAAATGGAGATAAGCAACCTAACATGCTGAGTTCAAAATACTGCTTATAAGGATGCTCAATGACTTAGGGAGGGCCTCAAGAGCATAAAAAAGGACCAGTCAGAAATTATGGATGCACAGTCAGAATTGAAGGAGGCATTAACTGAAATAAAGACTAATTCACACAGCTTCAATAGTAGAGTACATAAATCCAAGAAGCAAACCATCGATTTGGAATATAAGGAAGCAAAAAACGCCCAATCAGAACAGCAAAAAGAAAAAGAATCCAAAAAAACGAGGATAGTGTAAGGAGCCTCTGGGAAAACTTCAAGCGTGCCAACATTCGCATCTTAGGGCTGCCAGAAGGAGAAGAGCGAGAACAAGAAATCGAAAACCTATTTGAAACAATAATGGCAGAAAACTTTCCTAATTTGGTGAAGGAAACAGACATACAAGTCCAGGAAGCACAGAGTCCCAAACAAGATGAACCCCAATAGGCCCACACCAAGACACATCATCATCAAAATGCAAAAGGTTCAAGACAAAGGGAGAATCTTAAAAGCAGCAAGAGAAAGGCAGCTAGTTACCTACAAGGGAGTTCCCATAAGGCTGTCAGATGATTTCTCAAAAGAAACTTTGCAGGCCAGAAGGGTGTGGCAAGAAATATTCAGAGTGATGAAAAGCAAGAACCTACAACCAAGATTACTCTATTCTGCAAAGCTGTCATTTAGAATCGATGGCCATATAAAGACTTTCCCAGACAAGAAAAAGTTAAAGGAGTTCATCACCACCAAACCGTTATTATATGAAATGATGAAGGGTCTTTTTGAAGAAAAAGATAAAATGTACGAACAAACAAAATGGCAATGAATACATATCTATTAACAATGGAATCTACAAACAAAATGAACAGGCAGAGCAGAAACATTCTCATAGATACAGAGAACATTTTGTTGGTTGCCAGATGGGAGGGGGGTTGGGGGAATGGGTGAAAAAGGTGAAGGGATTAAGAAGTACAAATTCACTGCTATACTGACAAACCTCAAAGGGAAAGGGGTTGTGGGGGGTGGGAAGAAATAAACCAAAGAACTTATATGCATAACCAATGGACACAGACAATAGTGTGGGAAAAGGCGGGAGGGGGGCGGGAGTGGGGAGAAGGGGGTCAATGGGGGAAAAATGTGGAACATCTGTAATACATTTTACATTCAACAATAAAGATTAAAAAAAAAAAAAAAACCCACATGATCAGCCCTGGCCAGTTTGACTCAGCTGTTGAGTGTTGGCCTGTGGAGCAGAGAGTCCCGGGTTTAGTTCCTGCTAGAGGCACGTACCACCAAAAAAAAAAAACACACACACACACAAAATATGATCATATTAATAGATGCTGAAAAAGCATTCTTCAAAATCCAGCACCCATTTCTGATAAAAATGCTTAGCAATGTGGGTATAGAAGGATCAATTATCGACACAACAAAGGCCATATATGAAAAACCTACAGCCAACATCATACTCAGTGGGCAAAAACTGAGCATTTCCCTTAAGAACAAGAGTAAGAAAGGGATGCCCATTTTAAACACTTTTATTTAACACAGTCTTAGCCCTAGCAATTAAACATGAAGAAAAAATACAAGGGATCCAAATTGGAAAGAAGGAAGTGAAACTGTCATTATTTATAGATGACATAATATTGTACATAGAAAACCCTAAAGACTCCATCAAAAATCTACTAGATGTAATAAAATGAATTTGGCAAAGTAGCAGGACACAAAATTAACATCAAGAAATCGATTGCAACCCTGGCCAGTTTGGCCCAGCAGTTGGAGTGTTGGCCTGTGGTCCAGAGACATAGAAAGGAGTACAATTCAGATTGACAAATCTCAGAGGAGGAGGGTGGAATGAGATAAACCAAAGAACTTCTATGCATGTATCCATAACCAATGGACATAGACAACAAAGCTGGGGGAGGTGGGGCAGGATCAGAGCAAAGTGTCTAGGGTGGAAAAAGGAAAGATATATGTAACCAAAATAAGTTAATTAATAAAAAAATAAAATTTAGGCTTTTCAGAAATATTAAAAAAATGAGAAAACAAAACACTATCCAGAAGAACATCTTCTCAATATATTTAATTTTTAAAAGATATGCATCCAGAATACATAAAGAAATCCTGTAACTCAATAATACAAAGACAACCCAATCTAATATATGAGCTTAAGACATTTTAAAAAGAAGATATATAAGTGTGCCTGGCAGGTGTGGCTCAGCAGATTGAGTGTCATCCCCTGGACTGAGAAGTCCAGGTTTGATTCTCCGTCAGGGTACATGCCCAGGTTTCTGGCTTGATTCCCAGTAGGTGGCGTGCAGGAGACAGCTGATGGATGTTTGTCTGTCACATTCATGTTTCTCTCTCTCTCCAAAAAAACCAATAAAAACATATTTAAAAAAGAAGATATAGGAGTAACGAAAGGGGAATATCAGTTTTCAGGAAAACGCAAATTAAAACCACAAGATAATCTTTCATATCCACTAGAATACCTTAAACCAATACAGACAACACCAACTTTTGGTGAGAATGTGAAGAGACTGGAACTATCGAGTTGGCAGTGAGTGCAAAATGGCAGAGAAAAGAATCTGTTATAACGTCTGCAAAGAGTAAAGATCTAGAACAAGCTTACTTATAACAAGCAATTTCAATACTCACTTGAGATGGAACCGTTCAATGATAGATTGAGAAAAGTGGAAATAAATGAGATTCTAAGATCAATCTGGTTAATGTAAACTAATAGGCAGAAGCTACTGTATACCTGATCATTTCAATTCATTAAAAAAATTACCTGTTTATATTCGTTAATACAACTTTGGCAGCAGAATCTCATCTGTTGGCCATTAATCACTAGGAAACTGTTCCCAGAACCTTTGCTAGGCAGGTACTCTCCACACTGTTCACAACAATTCATTATCAGACCATTAGCCATCCTGTACTTGTTAAAGCAGAGGTTACTGCACAGTTTATGTGTCACATTATTAACGCTGACTTCATGGCGAATCTAAAAGAAAAATGAGAAGTTACTAAATAAACAAGCCAGATTAACACAGTAAGTAAGGAGGTAACTAGTGTCTTCAACAGAAACAAAGAAACTATAGTAACTTCTCAGTGGAAAACATATTCAGGGAAAAGACTAAAAAGACCATTTCATTATTCTTTCATTTTTATCTATGATTTCTTTGTAAAGCTATTCTTTGATGTTATAAAAAATAAATAAAAGATTCATAGAACAAAAAGCAATAAGTAATAACTTCCCCAGAAACACTTAAGCATTCCAGAAAATAAAATTATTTAGAAGATTTTGGTAACACCTGCTTTAAAAAAATAGATTGAGAATTCTCAGTCTTCTAAGCTTCACTGTCCTCGAACACTTGTGGGAGAGACTAAGGAAACCAGTATTCCATATTGGGATGGTTTATGTACACACAAGACTAAGTGGTTCTTGCTCTGCTCGGCAACGTGGTAAGTGAGATAAAATTGTGTCCTGGATTTGCACGGCTCTGGGCCAACCAACACCAAATTCAGTTACCAAAGACTATGTTAGGTTAGGACTGCCTACATGCATGCTTCTTCTTTCAGCAACCAGAAGGATAGCAATACCACTTAAGAAATGTGAAGTTGCCCTGGCCGGTCTGGCTCAGCAGTTAAGAGCGTTGACCTGTGAACCAGAGAGTCCCGGGTTCAGTTCCTGCTAAGTGCACGTACCTCAGTTGCAGTTTAAACTCGGCCCTGATTGGGGTCATGTGGGTGGCAGCCAGTTGATGTGTCTCTCTCATATTGATGTTTCTCTCTCTCTCTCTTCCTTTCTCAACTTCCCACTCTATCTATACCAAAAAAAAAAAAGAGAGAGAGAAAATGTCCTTGGGTGAGGATTTAAAAAAAAAAGAAATGTGAAGTTCTCAACATACTTACAGTTGACATGTTTTATGTATTCTTACACCGACTGGTTGCTTCCTTTGTGTCCTGAACCTACATTTTTTTTTTTTTTTTGGTAGGGGCCCCTAGCCGCTAGGGCCTAGCAGGAACCAAACCCAGGAGACTCTCTGGTCCATAGGCCAACACTCCAACTGCTGAGCCAAATCAGCCAGGGCATGAACCTACATTTTTATTTACTGTGGCTAGTAAGAATAAAATCAATCATACAACTATTGCTCTGTGGATGAGTACATCACATTCCATAGAAACATATGTGTATTTTTCATACTATGCAAATAGGACATTTTAAGATAATTCTGACATATCCTTATTCCTTCCTTTAACTTCTTTGTGTAGATTCAAAAAATATGCATTATGTAGATGATAGAGCACAGAACAACACTTGAGTTAAAGTTATCCTAGATAACAATTTAAATAAGACAAAAATGCAGACCTCTGTTAGTTTACTACAGATTGTACATCTTGATTTATTTGAAATTTTTTTTGTGAGACTCTGGTTGTCTTCATAGGGAGAAGCACAGTATGTACCACGGAATTCCTGGAAGGGCTGGCTCGACTGCACTTGAGGAACAATAGTAGCCCTTTTTGTAGGTGCATCTCTGAAATACATGGATAAACACAATTTAAGAACACTGAATTTTATTTTGAAATATATGAAAAATGGACAGTTTTCATTTTTCTCATAATTTAATACTAGTAATCAATTATAATTTTTCTATATAGCAGAATCTACTTTTTGGTTTTATCATCAAGAGTTCCTGAATAAAACAGGAAGAGAGGATTTGGAAGTAAAAATATTTTGCCTCACAAGAACCTTGTCACAGGTTCTGATGACTTTTAGGAACAATCAAAAAGGGTGGTAGTGCCCTAATTGGTGTGGCTAACTGGTTAGAGTTCGTCCATGCACTGAAGGGTCTTGGATTCGATTCCCAATCAAGGGTATGAACCTGGCTTGCAGGTCTGATCCCAGGCCCTGATTGGGGCATATGCAGGAGACAACCAATTGATGTGTCTTTCTCACATGGATGTCTCTCTCTCTCTCTCCCCCACTCCACCTTTCCACTCATTCTAAAAAGCAATGGAAAAAATATCCTCGGATGAGGATTAACAAACAAACAAAAAAAGGTGGTAGCAAACCCTGTCTGAATGACCCAGTTGGTTGGAGCATTGTCCTGTATACCAAAAAGGTTGCGAGTTTAATCCCCAGTCAGGCAGCCTACTAGAGGCAATCGATGAATATTTCTCTTTCTCTCTTCTGTCCTCTTTCTCTAAATCAGTACAAACATACCCCAGGGTGAGGATTAAAAAAATAAAGGGGGGGGGGGGGTAGGGGGTAGCAACTTGGTAGAACTGAGGTAGAAGATGGGGGAGGATTGAGGCAAAGTCAGTGGCAGGGAGAGGGTGAGGATATTTCCATACCTATTCTCTACTTTCCTGCCAAGAGTAAGGACAATACAAATGAGCCTACATCTCTGACAAACTCTAAGATAAGTGAAGCTCAATAAACTTGAAGACACCTCTGCAACAATAATACCCATGAATTTATACAGCTCTCCAATCACATTCAGAACACACAGTTACACTGTTAGTATCGACCATATAGAGCCATGTTAGAAAGTACAGCTTACTTTTTCCACGTTATATTGCGTTTCTTTGGAGTACGCTTGTGAGAGAAGGAGGAAAGGCAGGTGGTAGAACAAAAGAGATGAGCTGATCCCTTTCGTTGATAAGCTGTCTGTCCTTTCTGTAAAGGTTTTTTGCAGTGTGCACAAGTGATTTTAACTGGTTTAGTAAGTTGCTGTTGGGCTGAAGGCTGGCAAATCTGTTTAGGAAGTGAGGCCACTGGTGATAAAGAATCCACCCCTGGCTGTTTCTGATTACGTGGAAATGATGCTGACTGGGAGATCCAAGAATCTTTAAAAAAAACAACAACAAAAAAACAAACACACACACAAGAAAAGTCATGGAACAATTCAAAATTCACATCAGAAAGTTATTTAAAATTTTCATTTTGTACAAGTCTAAGAGAATAGTGAGGCAGCCCTATAAGCAAGTGGTTAAGGCCAGACAGCCTTGTTACACAATCCCAGCGGAACTATCTACTTTGTATTCTAAGTGAATGATACTCTATTGTGCCAATGATGCAAACAGTGGCCCTGGAATTGTGCAATGCAGTAGCCATCATCTTTTAAGTCAGATTCCCCAGATTCAAGAGATATGTTGTGAGCTTACTAGATTGTGCAAACATATTAAAGTGTTTCCTAGTTTTCTCAACTACAAACTAGCATTAATACCTAACTCATGAAAGTATAACAGTAAATCCTTATTTTTGGTACCAGGACACATGCAAAAAATATTGGACACTTTTCCTTCTTTTCTTTTCTTTTCTTTTTTTTTTTTATCCTCACCCAAGGACATTTTTCCATTTTTTGTTCAGATAGAGTGGGAGGGAGAGAGAGAGAAACAGCGACGTGAAAGGGACACATCGAGTGGTTGCCACCTGCACAACCCAACTAGGGCTGGGGACAAACTGCAACCGAGGTACGTGCCTTTCACAGGAACCGAACCCGGGTCTCTCTGGACCACAGGCTGATACTCTAACCACTGAACCAAACTAGCCAGGACCCACTTTTCCTTCTTTAAGAACAAAATATCAATATATTATAAAATAAGGCAAATAAATATGTAAATACAAAGATAACTACAGAGTGTGTTATATAATATCCATTTTCTTTTCTTTTTTTTAATAATACTTTTATTTATCCTCACCTGAGGACATTTTCCCACTTTTTGTTCAGATAGAGTGGGAGAAAGAGAGAGAAAGAAAGAAAAACATCGACGTGAAAGGGACACATCGAGTGGCTGCCTCCCGCATGACCCAACCAGGACTGGAAACAAACCGCAACCGAGGTACATGCCCTTAGCGGGAACCGAACCTGGGACTCTCTAGATCGCAGGCCAACACTCTAACCACTGAGCCAAAGTGGTCAGGGCAATTTTTTTCTTTTTTTTGCATTTATCTTCAGATAGAGTGGGAGAGAGAGAGGGAGGAAGAGAGAGAGGGAGGAAGAGAGAGAGAGGGAAGAAGAGAGAGAGAAACATCAATGTGAGAGAGACACATCGAGTGGCAGCCTCCTACACGACCTCAACCAGGGCTGAGGACGAATTGCAACCGAGGTACGTGCCCTTAGTGGAAACCGAACCCGGGTCTCTCTGGTCCGCAGGCCGACGCTCCAACCGCTGAGCCAAACTGGCCAGGGTGATATCCATTTTCATAACTGCTTCCCCCCTAACATTGTATTATGAAAAACTGAAAGCATATAGAGAAGTTGAAAGTATTTTACAGTGAACTTCCATATGCCTACCAAATAGATTCTACAGTATCTTAAAATTTTTTTAATTAATATTTTGCAGCAACATTGGTTAATAACATTACATATATTTCAGCCATATAATTTTATCATACGCCTATATACTGTATTGGGTGCTCACCACCCAAAGTCTAGTCTCTTTCCACCACCATATATTTGACCCCCTTCACGCTCTTTGTCCTCCCTCAACACTACTTCACTATTTTTGCTTTAACACATCTTTTCATCTATACCTCCCTCTAAATATTTTATGTATTTCAAGTAATATGCAGACATCAATACATTTCCCTCTAAAATACTATGGAATACATGAAATTTAGACATAACATGTTTTTAAAAAATGTTTTTATTGATTCCTTATAGAGAGAGGAGGGGAGAAAGATAGAAACATCGATGTGAGAGAGCAACATCAATCAGCTGCCTCCTGCATGTCCCCCATGGAAACCGAGCCCAAAAGCTGGGCATGTGCCCTGACAGGGAATGGAACCGGGACCTCTCAGTCCATGGGACGATGCTTAATCCACTGAGCCACTCCTGCCGGGCTAGACATAACACTTTAATATCATTTAAAAAATATCTTCAACCAAGGACATGCTTAGAAAAGAAGGGAGAGAAAGACAGAGAAATGTCAGTTTTTGCTTTTGTACGTGTCTTGGCCAGGGATTGAACACATAACCCAGGTATGTGCCCTGACTGGGAATCAAACTGGCAACTTTTCAGTGCACAGGATTACGCTCAACCGACAGCCTCTCTGGCTAACCTAGATGTAATGTTTTGGTTTGTTTTAATTAAGATTTAAAAATTGAGTTTTAGAGAGAAGAAAGGAGAGGGAGAGAGAAATACCGATGTGAGAGTGAAGCATGGATCAACTGCCTCCTACATGCCCCCTACCAGGGATTGAGCCTGAAACCTGGGCATGTGCCCTGACCAGGAATCAAACTGACAACCTTTCCATGTACAGGATGCCTTGGAATAACACTGGCCAGGGCTAGATATAATGTTTTATTTTATTTATTTATTTATTAATCCTTACCCAAGGCTATTTTTCCACTTTTATATATTTTAAAAATAGAGTGTGTGTGTGGGGGGGAAACAACAATGTGAGAGGGAAACATTAATTGGTTGCCTCCCAAATGACCCCAATTATTTTTTATTTATTTTTTTGTTTTGTTTTTTTGTTTTTATCCTCACCCGAGGACATTTTTCCACTTTTTGTTCAGGTAGAGTGGGAGGGAGAGAGAGGAACAGAGAGAGAGAGAGAAACATCGATGTGAAAGGAACACATCGAGTGGCTGCCACCCGCACAACCGACCAGGGCCAGGGGCAAACTGCAACCGAGGTACATGCCCTTAGCGGAAACCGAACCCGGGTCTCTCAGGACCGCAGGCGGACGCTCTAACTGCTGAGCCAAACAGGCAGGGCTGACCCCAATTATTGAACCTGCAACCCAGGTACGTGCCCTTGATTGGGAATCAAACCTGTAACCCTTTGGATCTCGGGCTGACACTCTAACCCCTGAGCCAAAATGGCCAGGGCTAAATGTAACTTTTTCTTTTTTCTTAATTGATTTTTAGAGAAAGAGGAAAGGAGAGGGAAAGAGAGACAGAAACATAGATGAGAGAGAACACTGATTGGCTGCCCCATGCATGCCTCCCACTGGGAATTGAGCCCACAACCTAGGCATATGCCCTGATCGGGAATCGAACCAGTGACCTCCTGGTGCATGGATCAATGCTCAACCACTAAGTCACACCAGCCGGGTCTAAATGTAACATTTTAAAGTAAGGTTTTCCACAATTACTTCCCAGCCTTCTAAAATATTATTTCATAGGCATTAATTAATATAGGTGGTGGAAAGACTTCACACATGGTCCACCCCACCCCAATCAAATATTACTGTTGCTTCAAAATGGTACAATGTGATGTGCAGGTAATAGTGTTTCTCAAACTTTAACATGCATGAGATCACTTGGGAATCGTATTTAAACAGAGATTCTAAATCAGTAGATCCTGGGAGGGGCCTGAGATTCTGCATTTCTTGTATGACAGTGAAGCTTTGAGAAATGAGGTTCTCTTCAAAAAGAGCTTTTGGCCCTGGCCGGTTTGGCTCAGCGGTTAGAGCGTCAGCCTGCAGTCCTGAGAGACCCGGGTTCGGTTCCCGCTAAGGGCATGTACCTCGGTTGCAGTTTGTCCCCGGCCCTGGTGGGTCGTGCGGGTGGCAGCCACTCGGTGTGTTCCTTTCACATCGATGTTTCTCTCTCTCTCTCTCTGTTCCTCTCTCTCCCTCCCACTCTACCTGAACGAAAAATGGAAAAATGTCCTCGGGTGAGGATAAAAAAAAAGAGCTTTTGTCATAAGCATGAGGCCTATGGCCCTCTCCACCTATCACAGCTCATCATAGGCCTCTTACAATACTACCAACACTAATAATTCTATTTTAATTTCTAAATTACCAATCACTGCTTCTAATTTTATTTATTCTATTTCCAGATACCTTCTATCTTACAGGCAAAACCAAAATAGAACAAGTAACAAAGGAATTCTTTAATTCCACAGGTTGACATGCCGGTTAATATAAAGTATATGCCAAATTAGTTTTTTTTTTTTTTTATCAAGAACCCAGAAAGGAAGTTTGTTTACTGCTCAAGTTTCCCACTTCTAAGCCTTTCCTTTAGGAAGCAAAATGATTCTGAATCACTCCAAATAAAACAGAAATTACATATTCGTCTATAAAATAAACATGATTGCCCTGGCCAGGAAGCTCAGTTGGTTAGAGCACCATCACAATAGGCCAAGGTTGCAAGTTCAATCTCCAGTCAGGGCACATACAAGAAGCAAACCAATGAACGGAAAATACATATTTTTTTGCCAAAGTAAGTAAACAAGAAATTGATGTTTCTCTCTCTCAAATCAGTAAATAAAAAAAGAAACATAGGTTGCATCCTGGAATTAAATTTCTAGATAACAAACTAGATTTAATAAAGACAGTGAACCATTACATTATTTGTTATTACCATTAATATGGGAGAAGAATCCAGAACACAAAAACATTGGGATTTTGAATTTTAGGGACTTATCCATACTTAAAAGGGGCATATTTATCTATATTTATGGAAAGTAACACATCAACTATATTGCTTTTCAAGACAATTAGGTCCTGAAATTATTTTCACTTTAGCTTTGGAAGCAAATATTTCCTTTGTTTACAAGGCAATATTTAATTCCTTTTAAATTCAAATTTCTTTTATTTTTTTATCCTCACCCGAGGACATTTTTGCATTGATCTTCCCATAGGGCGATAGAGCGAGGGGGAGAGAGGGAAGAAGAGAGAGAGAAACATCGACGTGAAGGGACACATCGAGTGGTTGCCACCCACACGACCAACCAGGGCCGGGGACAAACTGCAACAGAAGTACGTGCCCTTAGCGGGAACCGAACCCGGGTCTCTCCGGACCGCAGGCCGATGCTCTAACCGCTGAGCCAAACCGGCCAGGGCCAATTTGTATTTCTTAATCCCTTCACCTTTTTCACCCATTCCCCCCA